GAGGCTTCGTTTTCACGACATATTATTTTGCTGAGCAGTGCAGCATTTCAGGTTTGACTTTTTCCGCATACGTGTCAAAATAGCTTTCACATTATTTTTTGAACGATTAAAGATAGGATAACCAAAATCATGTTCTATTTCCTGTGTTACTTCTGTTGATCAGCAAATGAGCTCTGCTTGTACTGTTTAATCTGAAAAATGATTAGAAAGAACATGAACGACGTTCCATGAATCTCAGATTTAACATTTTTTCTTTGCTTTTCAGATAGACGCCTTTATCCGGTTAGTCGGTGAAACCATTCGGTGAAATCACTATTTGATTACCCAAACTTTCTCTAATACTCAATACACTCTTGATGCACTCATTTTGCATTATCTCGGAATTCCAGAAAATTTCTGAGCTGAGAGGCGGTGTGCTTGTTGGTCTACACCGGTTTTTCTGATCTCGAGATCTCAGCGTTCCTTGAACATTTTATTTACTCTAAACTAACTCAGTGGAAAACAAACAGTAAATAAGACGACAGTGACAAGAAATGCGAAAATGTGGTATGCAAAATTTGAAAAATATCACCGTTTTTAGTCTCAGCAAAAGAAAGGCAGTAAAAGTTCAACTTATTCTATTTTATGTCAATTGGTTCCTCATGTATTACTTTGTTTTAATTAAGCTAACATTAGATGAATAAATTTCAGAGAACTGAACGAAGCCTGAAACATGGAAGACTCCAAGCAAATTAACGAGTATGGTCTAACTGCCACATAGCTATCCGCTGCTTTTACTGGATTACTGTCAGTTTCAAATATTTTAATACTTCCTTTTGTGAAGCAGGTCCAATGCTGAGCATCGATTTATATTTCCATTTATCTCATCATTTTGTTATATGTATTGAATCCCTACTCGATCATGCTTCCGCTTTCTCTATTTATAATTATCATGAAAATATGAAGTTAGAGGAGAGGGAAAACAATAAGATGAGAAGGGAAGAAAGGATGGAGGTTTATTAATACTTAAACGATTAGGAATAGAAATTTCATTTGCGCTTTACAACTGCCATATCGTTCAGTCTTTTAAAAAAAACAATTTCCTTCTGTCTATCAGATGCAAATGCGTCATAGAAATATCCTTACCTTGCCAATGCAATTAATTTCTCACTAACAGCTAGCTCCTCGAGAATCCAAAGAAAGAAATGAGGTTAGCCTATTTATATCCTTGAAACACCATATAAACTAATCAAATGCATAACCTACTGTCGGCTCATGAATCCTTTTACTATCCATTTTAAAGTGGAATAGAATCTCTTGTCATATGAAGGTAACTGAGCAAGACTATTCCAAATTTCTTTTTTCTTATTTTGGAGCATCTTTTCATTCTTATTCTGTCGTCTACACTACTGACTTCGTTCACTGAAAAAGTATATAGCAATTTTCTGTACAATGCTGAGCGATATATTACGTTTATCTAATTGTCATTATCATTCGTTAGCCAAATGCAACAAGCAATATCTCAAATACATTTTTCATTGAACTCCTTGCCAACAAAAACATCCTGAAAAATCATGAAGAACTGAGGAAAATATAGCAGGGAATAAATATTTACAACAGAACATGCAAATAACTTCACGGCTGGATGAAGGTAACGTAATGCCGGTCCCTCACCTCCAAAATATATGACCTTCAAGCACTAACAAGCACTAAGTTACTCATTCAAGTCCATTTCATGTATTTTAAAATCTAAAATTAATTCCAAATACAAACTGACTGAATTTACACAATTTACGTAATATGTAATGAGCTGAAAAAGAAATTTTAACTAAAGCAAAAGAGAATACTGAAATTATTTTCAATATTTGATCATAAAATTTTGAAGACTTGAACATTCAAAAATGCATCCAAATAATTTTTAAATATAAGAAATATAAGAGCAACTAAGTTTTGGAAAAACAATAAAATGGAAACAAAAACAGTACGAACAACGGCAACAGATATGTACACATAACCATTTTCCGCTGGAAGGGAAATGAATTAAAAAAGAAAGACTTTAAGCAAATGCATTTCTGTCTGGATGAAATGATATTCCTTGAGCTCAACTAAAAATGTGCTCCACTAAAATGTTACCACTTAATCAAATGTTTCTCTTCTGGAGCTTTTCCGGATGAAATAACATTTGCAGGAAAGTAAAAAACGTAAGACATAAGTCCTTATAAAAAAGTTCTTATAAAAAATTTCTTATAAAAAATATGAAAAGGAACCCAATCTAGACTATGAGATTTAGTCAGGTATGCTGTACTGCTTACTGCTCCTGAAAAGAATTGTTCATAATTTACTCTTCATAATTTACTCTGCATCGATAGTATGAATAATTAAAACAGACAGATATAAAGAAATATGTATACTTAAAACCTTCCACTGCGTTCAAATATATCATCAACAAACAGTTCAAGATTTAATATTAGAAATAAAATCTCGAAAAAAATGCTGTAACAAAAGAGTGGTTGGCTGGAATAATGGTTCCCAACCTTTTCTTGGCCAGGAACTATTTTGCTTTTATTTGTAGCAAGAGCCACAAAGTTCAAAAATTATGAATTCTGTTAATTTAAAAACAAACTTCAATCAAAGCTCTTAAAGTATTAGTTTACCAAAAATTGATGAAAACAGCCCCGTTTGTTTTCTACTCACCGTGCCGCTGCTCCCGCTCTTGCGGACCATCGGTGGAACCACTGAGCTAGAACACAATTTACAACTGCCTATATTTAAGCCACCTTTATAAAAACTAAGTACGGTATACTTTAGGCTATAATTATTTAGAAGCGGTTGATTGGTCCTAAAATATTTCCATTTCTACACTAGACGTATTGCTGAAATCTTACTGATTGGAGAACATGAAGAGATGATCGAATAATTGAAAATTCTGGAGTAGGTGTGAGAAAAAAGATGCGAAAAGAAAAAAGTGACGTAAGGACAAGGAAGATATGAAGAGGGTAATTACAACCACTTTTTTGCTCCATTTTTATTCATCTTCATCTATCATTCCTTCTTCATAGCTATCCAATACTTGCATAATTTTCATTCGTGCCTGCAAAAAGAAACTACGTAAAACAAGGAAATCTTGTGTTAAACAGACTTTATCGGAAGAAATTAAAGAAGTGTCCGATTATTTAGAATGCAGAACTTGTCTTAGTGCTGGTGTATTCCCATGTTGAGTTCGTAGTTATGCATTGGTCGTTTTCTGAATAAGACAGACTCTGAGAGTACGCGATTAAACATTGATCAGCATCAGGGTTGTTACTACATAAATCAGTACGGATATGAAAGAAAAATGATGGTAATTTAATCAAACATACCATGCTCCTATAATGTGAATTCATTTTCTTCAATCGTAAACCAACAAAACGAGCAAAAAGCATTTCTTCATCATTAATCCATTCAGCATCCGTGACATTAGTGCTATTTATTGAATTTACTTGTTGGAATGTTTTCGTCAAATTCATCTGTTGTTGCTGCTGTTTCTTCATATTTCGTGCCCGAAATCTAACACTCGAATAAACAGGCAATCGGTAAGGCGAGCTTCGAGTGGGATGTGATATCAGTGATTTGAACGTAACCGGATTACCCGTCCTGGCTAAGGCTATGGCTGGGGCACTTGTAGATGAGCTCTGATGTTGTGGAATAGGAGATACAGTATTACCTACATCCTGATATTCCTGAGATTTCATAGGACAGGGGGCATGCACATGTACTATCTCTTCCGTTTCAAGACCTGCTTCAGAAGTGCATGGTGATGAAGCTGTGTTGGGTCCATCCAATGCTGACAAACGAGATAGTTCATCACGTAATCGCTGCGATTCTTGAGATGGTGTCGAACAACCACTGGGCATCCGAGCACTTCTTAAATTACCATCATCCTGCGCTGATGCAACTGATGCTTGAGGAGAAGAAGGCGAGGGACTTCCACATGGTTCCTTCGATATTTTACCATTACATGCACTAATATCTGAGCAATTCATATCGCTATCTCCATCGGTTTCGAAACCATCTGAAAAACAACTGAATGAACAAATAATCCAACAAGTAAAGCATTAAGTTCAATTATAATGAACTATGGCATGAAAACTTGTTAAATTTGCAAATCTTAAAATGTCCCATCCAGCATTTGTAAAATTAAAATCTTGGCTATGTGGCAATATTTCATGTCCAGACCTATGCACGTATTTTTAATGATTTTATTTTCTTAACGATTACTTTCTAGTGTTATCGACAATCCTTTTTTTTTCCAGCTATAGCCGTAGCTTCCTTTTTTAAATTTGCAGTAGCCTCAGCGACAGCAAGCACTGACTGAAGAGTTGACATCACCGGTTTCAAATCATCAAAACATTCCGATAATGTGCCTTCAGTTGCTATAAATTATGGAAACTTAAATGAATGAAGAAACATGTGCTGCGATAAGGCAACAATTAGAATTTGCATGCATAAAATTGTACCCATTGAAATAACCGCTCTAACACGATCTTTTAGTGCAATATCCTCTCACTGCTTAGGCAAGTAAGCGAAGCCATGGCAAAACTGTCTTTTATGGGCAGCTTACTTTAGGTTTGACTGAGCGAATTAAAAAGTGAATTTCATAATTAAAAGGATCAAATTTTGTGATATACATACCGCCAGATGTCAATTCTGTAGATGATAACTTGATAGCAAAATTTTCATAAAATGCATCGCTGTTACCAGTAGTACTAACATTATCAAGAGTGTAGCAGGGAGCTGAACTATTCGGTGTAATCGGTCTATAAATGTAATTTTCAAGCATATAGAAAAATAAGCCTGGAATCTAAAAATTTTATGTCAAAGAATTATGTATCTTCTCCCGGGTTTATCCATCTTTCTGGTAGTTTGAAAAAAAAAAACTTTACTGGATGCCTTATGAACGCATAATATAGCACACTGAAATGTAAAGTAATGTAGCGACAAAATATTCTTCATTTACGGATAAATGAAACTTATGAAAGCATGTAAATAATGGAAATAAGCTACAAAAGTAAAATGCAAAAAGTCTACATTGCTCCTTGAAGATATGGATCGAGCCAATTTAATAACGGAAAATGGCTCCATTTTTGAGGCTGACTAAAATTTTGAGCAATGGATATTTTCAGTTCCTTGCGATAACGATCACGAAGTTGTAACCAACGCTTCTTGGCGAATTCTCCTATAAATGGTGATAGTGGCTTATTATCATTAAATCCTAAATTATTAAATACAATCGCTTCTAAAGTTCAAATAAATTTATTTATGAGGAAGAACTATGTGCAAAACTTGTTGTGTCTGATTTGCAGTAGTTTAGGTGGTGTCGAACACAACGAGTGTTTCATTGAAATGTTGAAGAGCACTGAAAACTCGAAACGGAGTTTGCCCACAAATATTCAAGCCGATTCTGTTATTAATCTGTACAAAGTGGATAATATGGCAAATCAGATAAACTCCATTATATCTAATATTATGAAATCATAGCAATAGGTGACAGGACAATTTTGATGAGTCTTCAATTGAATTATAACAGATATTTTCAAAATAAATTAAAAAGACAAATTTTTAACCTGTAACGCCACGCCCTATTTTAGCTGCGACTTCTTCCCAAACTTTGCTCCGGTCGATATTCTCGAAGGTCCTACGCTGATTGCTATACAGAGCAGGATATTCGCGAACGGTGGTGATAAGGATCTCATTAAACGATGGCTCACCCGGAGGGTTCAAATAACATGGCGAAGGCATTGGCAATATGTCCTACAATAAATTAGAACTGTAATGGACGTTTTGAGTGGGTAATCCTTTTTCGCGCTTTTAATCGAAATTATGAAGCCATTTTCGGTAAATGATGTGCATTGATAAGGAATGAGAATCTTATCCTCACACTCTCTCGATGTCAATGACAAGTCAATACATGTCATTAAGTACCGCTGGTTCCACATCTGCACAACTCGATCTAGTCTTTATTCAATCACGGAAATTGAGTAAACAAAAGAAACAATGCATATTTAGATGTTAAGACATTTTTGACATAACAGTGATGATATGGAGAGAAATGATGTATATTTTAGACACTCGTATAATGAGTTATAGGTTGAGGGGTAAGTTTGAGGATAGAAAAAGAATTACGAAGAGATATGATGCGAGTAAAGATTTAAAAAATCATTCCAATCTTTTTTTGCAAAAACATCTACCAAGCAATAATTATGCAGAATTTACTCGAAGGAAGCGTCTTTTTGCTGGAAATGTACCACAACCAATCTCAAAATCCATGTAATAATTTGTGAAACTTCAACTTCATACGATTCAATCATCAACAAAGCAGTACATTTACATGAAATTCTCAAACTACGAATAAATGAATGCGTATGCATGGAAATCATGGCATTAAATCAAGCGCGCAGTATCATTACATGACCTTTGTTTGGTTCAATCCGATCTAGCGCAGCAAAAGAAAGTCCTCATACATACTAGGAGACTTTTGAAAATTTTGATTGGATTTTTCGTGCATTTCATTGGTTTGTAGGTAGGAAATTATAGAGCAAGTTATTCGCAGATTTGTGAAATTCTCAACGTTTGTTCTTCCTGGACACTTTTGCTCTAAATAATGTTCAAATACACACTGCTTCAATTTTTACAGAGCTTGATCAGTACTCAAATCTAGTAAAGATCTAATTATTGGTGATTAGTATAAGGTGATTTCAGGTAACGCGAGCATAATCAGCAGGAGTGTTGCACTGACGATGATTCTCAATGAACACAAGAATGAAACTGATTAAACCACAGCTCATCGTACTACTATCTATGTATAGTTTTCACTCTAAGAGTGGATAGCAAGGATCAGAAAGAACAGGTGATAAATAGCTAGAAATCAAACATTGTTTACAAGACTTCTTGAATCATTTAAACTATGACTTAGAACAACTATACAGATTTCTGAATCAAGTTGTAGAAAGAAAAGTTTAAATTATTGAGAAATGAGGTTATTAGCATCACTCCATACTGCAACACCTACAGTTACCGACACTGAAACCGTTATATCGAGAGAACCGATGGGGAGGTGAAGTGAAGAGCACATGTTGAAAGATGAAAGATTCCTTTGCTTGTGACATTTGTGGTAAGAGTTACAAACAACGACATCATACATCACATGGCAAATCACCCTGCTTTTAAATTTGCCGCTGAACAATGTTCGATTCAAACTTAATCTTCCGGGGAATTGCTTCGTTAAACATAGCATTCAATTAATTTAAATTGGGATAAGAGAATGAAATTAATCATTAAATTGTAACTAACAAAAGTCTCGCCAAAAAAGTATAGGCGAAAAAGCATAGCTAAGAGTAGCAAACAAATGACCTGGATTTTTACCACGTAGCAAGTCAGTTTGGAGACGTTGTTGGAGTTGGAGTCAATCCTAAATTTTGAAAACCTTGAAAACGTCCTTGTATCCCTTTCATCAATATCCTTGAAAACGATCCACACAAATTAAGCTTTTTGAAAATGAGTCAAATCAAGCAAAGGAAAAGGACTATTCCAAAGCAGTGGAACTCATTTCCAAACATTAACATCGAAAAGGATATTTCACAAGTGACTTCCATATTGTGGAAAAAAAGGTGATACTGTTACTTATAATTGAAATGAAGTAAAATGAACAGTAGAAAAATGAATAAAATGTTGTGACCTTTCGGATCAGATACCATGAATCCAAATTGGGTAAACTGCTATCTTTCCACACCACATTTCCGTAAATTCTACCAATGCGAAATAGGAAAGAAAATGCAACATTGAAACAGAAAATCAAATATTTGGAATAAATAACAGCACTTCGCAAGTTTCAAACGATAGAATATATAACAGATGCAACTGAAGACGTATCGAGCGAATAGAATTATGGGCAAACGAGAGAGATCTGGAAGTGTCAAGGGTCATCCTTTAGTCGAACTACTTCACAGCGCAGCAACTTAGAGAAAACATTCTGAATGACATAAGAAGCAAAGGGTGTTCCCGTTTAGGAGTTACCAGAAGCGAAACGAACAATAATGATGCACCTCTCAGAAGGACGAAGTCGTAATGCAGAATAAGGAATTGCTGAAGTTCATCTCTCTGGGCAACATAAAAATACGACATATCAGGAGAGGGAGAAAGGTATAACTTATTGCACTTCTTAATCTTGCTGCTATCCCGAGTTTGTTGGAATGTTTCGCAAATTACAGAAAACTTCCATGTTGCTGTCTTGGTGATAAATTAATAGTATTATAACTAGAGAATGCAGTAATTTATTTATCTTCTGATAGTGGGAAACCCAAGAACTGGCAGATGGGAAAAAATGGTGGCGAAAAAAAAAGTTCACTGATTCGGCTGATCTTGCAAGAGGTCTGGTTATAGACAAAAAGACGTGTCAATGGGAAAGTTTCATGAATCATTGCCTGTTTAGGTTCTACAGATCATGACTTACTCATTTCAACAGCCGACAGCTCGAATAATAGCTAGGTGCTTGCTTGATTATTAGCCGAAAATGTCAAACAGGAAAATGGTTCATGACGGGAAGTTTGGATCAGAAAAAGGGAAGAACCGAAAGAGTCTCATTTGAGGGACAAAAGGTGACTGACTTGACGACAGCAATCACGACGCAACAACAACAACACAAGACGAGAGGGAAGGGAAATGAGATCGGGTAGTAAGCGGATGATAATGACAGGAGTTCAGCCGGTCGAGCCGGGCTGGTATTCTCGTACTACCTGCCTACTCTCATGCATCGTGATAGACGATTGAAACGGACATAAGGAGGGAAGGATAGCGTTAATCATCAATGCAAGGTACGGAAGGAACGGGCAGTAAGTAGCGACAGAACCGGCTGATGACGACAGCGATGTTGCCCGGTTGCAGCGAGACGGACGGATACGTTGTGAAAACGGAGCAAGGATAAGAGTGTATGTATATGTGTATGTATGTGTGTGTGTGTGTCTGTATATATATATATATATACATATGTTTGTACGTGTGTGTGTGTGTGTGTGTGTGTGTGTATGTGTGTTTAGGAAGGAGTAAATGCAGCATCCACAAAATTATAACATCACTGAGCAGGAAAAGAATTCTCCCCAATCGGTTTGTCCGTTCACCGAGGCACAACATTTTTTGTTTGCAGCTCCGGCACCGACACTATCAACCCACACCACCACTGCCCCACCTCCCCTCTACTTCCTCCGTATTTCCGGTTGCATCGCTAGTAC